ATCATTTAAAAACATAGACCATGACACAGTAATAAAGTAATATTTGATTTCTGATTTACACTCAAAAAATGGATTATGGCTTTAGTTGGTCCAAAGAATGTAACTTTGTTTAAATTAAACAATTCATTAAGTTTGTCTATTAAAACCAAAAGAGTTGTGTTGGAAAAAATAGAAAAAGTATGTTTTCAATTTTAAACAGCTCGCTTAATTTAGATGAATGAAAGGGAGTTTTGTTGCTTCTACAGTACCACATTTTGGTCAATAGGTTAGTTGTTGTTTCAAAAGAACAGAGGAAGGAAGATTCAAACCACATTCAAACCACTCATTATATGGGAATCAAAAGAATAAGATTATATTGAAATTTTTGAAAAATGCTGTGCTCTATGTTCAATGCACTGAAAAAATATGGGTGATTTTATTAGTAAACATCTGTACAGTCCACAGTGAAAATCTGTTCAATAATTTGCAGCTCATTTCTGTACAAAATACAGAAAATAACTGTAACAGATCTAACCTTTGTTTTCCAGAATGTAATTAGAGTGTCTGAAATCTCACTATGCACCCCCATCCACTAGTCCCTTAATTAGTGGATTCGTTTAGTCCACTAGACAGAGTGAATGACCACAATGAGTGAATTCAGACACTGATGAACAGCTGCTTTAGACAAGCTCAATCACTAAAGGAAAGAACAAGACATAAACCCATACAGACACCGCCTCATACCAAACCAATTGAATTTAATAGAGGATTAAACACCTCCATTAAATAACAGCATTAGCAGCTTCACTAATTACAGTTTGAACACATTTCTGTCATACCTGCAGGAATATTTGATAATTAACAGAGGTTTATATATATTTAGTCCTATAAAACTTCAGAATTTTTACAGAAAATTCCTGGCAACCACTGCCGGTAATTTTCCGTAAATTTAATAGATTTTTTTTAACAGTGTAAATAAATTAAAGCTAAATTATACTGTAAGTGTTGTGTCGATTGAACTAAACAACATTACATTATCTTTATGTAACTAGCTTAAGTTCACTCAAATAAATATTCTTTCTTTCAGGTAACTTAACTCGGTTACGTGAAAACTGTTGACATAAAAAAAGTTAATTAAAGCCAACATATTAATTTTTTTGAGTGTTTTTTGAGGTCAAAGGTATGTTTCTAGAAAGTGCAACAGTAAGGGTTTGGAAGAACTACATTAATTTCCTCCCTAGAGAAATTAAATTTTAACTACAACTGATAAACCATTAAAGACAATATCTGTTGTGATATCAGAGGTTGTTAAAATATTATATAATAACTTTGCACCACAAAAGCTTGCAGCCTTGCACAGAACCTTGCACCTTTCATCTTGCAGGGTTTATTTTTGCCAAATAATCAAAATATATTGTATGGGTCAAAATGATTGATTTAGCTTCAATGCCAAAACTCATTGGAATATTGTCCCATGAATATATTTAGTGAATTTCATATCATAAATATATCAGAACTTAGATTTGATTAGCAATATGCATTGCTAAGAACTAAATTTGGACAAAAATAAAGGTGATTTTCTTATTTTTTACATTCACATTGCAGATTTTTATACAGTGTTGTACTATTGAACCATCCTTAAAAACAATGGAAAGCTTTTAAATTCTGATGTATAAATCTTCATTTAAAAATGGCTGGTTTTGTGTTTCAGTGTTACATATTTGCTTTTGTTGAACCCATGTTTGCATTAATTAAAATTATTTTGGTATTCTGTCTATGTGTACAGCTTTGAATAAAACGAATATACCACTTAAGAAAAGTTCATAATAATCAAGTGCTAAACAATCACTTTAGCCTAAGCATTTGGAGACAAATTAAACAAAAAGCTGAGTGTAATTTTTTGCATTCTTTCTAATACATGCGTCTCATTTTCCCTAGGTAAAGTAATCATGCATGACCCCTTTGCCATGCGTCCTTTCTTCGGCTACAACTTCGGCGACTACCTTTCCCACTGGTTGAGTATGGAGACACGCAAAGGCCCAACTCAGCTCCCTAAAATCTTCCACGTCAACTGGTTCCGGAAAGATCAGAAGACTGGCTCCTTTCTGTGGCCAGGATTTGGAGAGAACGCCCGTGTCCTTGAGTGGATCTTCAAACGATGTGGCCGTACCAGTGAAAACGAGGCTGCCACCAAGAGCATTGTGGGATGGATTCCACAAAATGGTGCCATAAACACAGAAGGCCTGGGTGGGAATATCGATATGGGTGCCCTCTTTGACCTGCCCAAACCCTTCTGGCAGAAGGAAACACAGGAGCTTCGGACCTACTTTAACCAGCAGGTTGGAGCTGATCTTCCTGCTCAAGTTGAAGGAGAGCTGAAGGCACTGGAGGAGAGAGTGAGGGATTGAACAGACACTATCACAGTAGATGTGAGAAATATGATGGGTTGAGGTGGAGGTAACTGTTTTATTGTGACTGACTGTTGCACTGCAGTGAATGCTGCATCTGAGAAACCAAATACTTCACTAGATGCCTTCTGTGGTATCAGTACCTTAGTGCCTTTTTTATCTTACGGTAGAAGCTAAAAACTCTATTTAATGTTTACAAGTTATTTCCCAAAATGCCATTTTAGATTATCCCCAACAAACATTTATTGTGTTTAAATTTCATCTAATAAACATTGGTGTCTAATAGACATTCAATCATAGACATCTAATAGAAATCCACAGATTGGTGTCTTATAGATATCCAAACATAGACATTTAATAGACTTCCAAACACTGGCGTCTAATAAACATTTAAGCATAGACTTCTAATAGACATCCAAATACTGGCATCTAATAGACATCTGAACATAGACGTCTAATAGACTTCCAAACACTGGCATCTGACATCCAAAAATAGAGGTCTCATTAGGATATTGAGACTTATATAACTAACAACAGTGCAAAAATAGACTAGTCATCAAAAAGACAGCATGTGAAATATGCCTAATATGTATTTTTGATGACTAGTCTATTTTGGGCTAACGTCTTTTTCTGGATGTCTATTATCGATCTATGTTAAGATGTTTATTAGATGTTTTATTTTGAAACACAAAACTGCTTGGTGGGTCATTTTAGATTAAAAATGTCGACATTATGAATTTAAACCACAACATCATTTTAAAGTGATGATTTGTCAGAACACTACATAATAGCTCATAATAGCTTGAGCAAAAATATCAGACATGCAATTATGAAAAGCACCAATAACATATAATTTGTGCTTTTACTGGTAACCTAATGAACTTTTTGAATTTTTATTTCCAAAGAATTTGCCTTTTATCAGTTGAATGTAATTTGATGTGATTCAGGTTGAGCTAAGGTTGAATGATGGACCAAAGAGGACCGCCCAGTCTTATTCAGTGAATGTTCCTGTTTTTACCTGAGCTGGCCAAATAAATACAACTGTAAATCAAACGTTTTATGAGTCATTTGGTTTTCTTACATCACAGGGGTTGTAATAAACTACTTTTCATAAACTATAATAAAATATTCTGCTGATAACACAAATGTATTTTGTTTTACAGCCTATGGAATATGCTATTGATCTTAAATTAAGTTTTAATTCCAATAGTTAAACATTTCTTAAAAGCCTGGTGTAACACTTTTTATGGCCCAAGTTCTAGTGAGTGCAATAACCTTATTTTTTCCCCTAAGGATTTTTTTTCAGTACGGTTCAAAAACTTGGCAGCTTTGCACTCACACATTGAAATGTTCAGTCTTTGCTCTGCCAAAACTGTAATCAGCTCTTCTGGCTTTTAGCAAAACTTGCTCTGGAATGTAATATATTTTAGTAGTGTATATAACTTTAGCATATAGATTTGATTTTAGATTCATGATTTTATTTAATTTAAGCAGTTTGTTTTGTTGGATCACATGGACTATTGTCTCAGTCACAGTGCCACCAACTGGCAGCGGGAAACAGCTTTCGTCAGAATTCACTCATTCATTTGCTTTTTGGCTTAGTCCTTTTATTAATCAGGGGTCGCCAAAACGGAATGAACCGCCAACTTATCCAGTAAATGGATTTTATGCAGCGGATACCCTTTCAGCCTCAATCCATCACTGGGAAACCCCCATACATTCTTGCATTTACACACATACACTGCGGCCAATTTAGTTTATCCAATTCACCTATGGCGCTTGTGGGGAAACCGGAGCACCTGGAGGAAACCCATGTAAACATGGGGAAAACACGCAAACTCCACACAGAAATGCAAACTGACCCAGCTGGGGCTCAAACCAGGGACCCTCTTGCTGTGAGGCAATCATGCTCTCCCCACTGTGCCACTGTGACACGTTTGTCAGAATAATATTAATAAAAGTACTTTTAAAGGAATTCCTGATGTTGTATGGTTGCCATGGTAATTAATCAAACTTTATTACACTTTTCTGGAGGTTTTGAACAACTATTCATGCTTTTAAATTCATGAGCTTGACACATAGATCAGTTTTTGACCATTAGACTAAAAAAAACTGAAACGGATGTATGGCTCTCTACTGCCACAATTCAGTTTCTTATTACTTTCTCTCTCTAACTATATAAATTATAACTATATTGACAACCATAACACACATATGTGTACCCTAAATTTGAATAAAGTGAAAAATACAAATTTTAAAAATGTAAAATGTGTTGTGTTTAAATAATCTACCATTATTGATCGGTGTAGTTGTTTCTTTTTCTATAATATTTGTTGATGTTGTTGTTGTTGTTAGGTAGAGTAAGTGGGCTACAATATGTTTAAACATTTATTTCCAGTTTTTGCTAAATAATAATAATAATAAAGTGTGTAATGCTAAAGCCATAGTTTAACCATCAGTTTAACCATCAAACTATTTAGATTTGTCTATTTAGATTTTTTAAGTGATCCCCTTAATCTGAGCAGTTCAAGACTTCTGAGTTCTTAGCTATACAAGTTTACCATCTGAACAAACACACAACACAAAAGAGCACTCAATTTAACAACTGGACTCATCACTGGACTCATCACTGCACAATACCACTCATCACAGTGGTTGACATTCACAAGAAATTGACAATTGTTTATGGCTGAAAAGATTCATCAAACCCTGCACAAAATAACAAAGAGCAAAATGTGTGTTCATTTGTTGATTTTTGTCTTTTTCTCTGTCACCTGAAGCTCGGCATACTCTGTTGGTGGTTCATTACTTAAAAATTCTCTTGTTGCGTGACTCGTCTGGAGTTTGGAAAAGTCAATTTCTCCATAATGAAGATCAGCAGTTTCTTTCTCATTTTTCTCACTGATCACAAAGCCATTGTTAGCATAAATAGCCACAGCATCGCTGTTTTTATCCATAGCCTGAAGAAAAGGGAACATTTGTAAAATAATACTTTAAAACAAATTTTCTTCTGTAATTGTCAAAACTTGAGAAGATGAGTCTGAGGAGAATTACTCTTTACAAAATGAACTGCTAAAAATTCTTAAGCCAAACTGTCAGACTATTTTAGACTGTCTACCTAATATCTGTTGATACTGCTCTTTAATCAGACATTTAAAGTATGACCCATAATAACAACTAAAAAGTACAAATCTGTAGTATCTTAAAGGTACAAAAGTATTCTCTTAAAAGTACAAAACTGTACCTTAGATAAAAACATGCCCTTGTAATGTATATATACGTTTACTTTTTGAAAATGTACCACCCCAGAGACATGTTTTTATTTTTGTATCTTTATTTCTAAGAGTGTATGGCTATTGGTAAGTTTGGTATTTTTTCTGCCCCTCCTCAACTGTGATTGGACAACTGGGTAAAAAGTGCCAATAAATAGTACTGTGTATTACCCAAAGCTGAGCAAATATTGGTGACCAGAAAATAATGAAGCAGATGCTCATTTTTTATTTAAATAAAGCTAGCTGCTGACAGAAATATTTGGTGAACTCACTGCCTTAATGCATTTTTAATTAATTTAAAATAGTGTCTTTTAGTAGAATAAAGAAAAACTCACCTGATTACTTCCTGTATCATGGGCTTGACCTGATGTCTTTATTCTGTTGTAAAACAAAAAAAACAAAAAAAGAATAAGACCCATACTGTAAAAACACAACTCTATTATTAATACTGTTTACATTTAACGCATGCAGTAAAAACTTTCTTTACCTCAAATAGTAAAAACATACTGCAGACAACAGAATTAAAGTGAAAATCCCTTTTGTACAGCCATAAATGACAAGACGAGAGGATTCTAAAACACAATGGGGTTACTTAGTAGTGTGTTTGAAACAATATAAACAAATCCATAATACATCTGCAGGCCCCTAGCCAGCCTGGTAAAAGGGGTAGTTCTTTTTTTTTTTTTTAAAGTGGACCTTTTTGCAGTTATACGCCTCATTTTTTATTTAATTATGAGACTTAAATACTGCATTTTAGTGATATTTTAAGCACTGTTTTTAGTTGGATTAGCTGGTCGTATGGTCATAATAACCACACTTTTTGATGTGTTAAAATATTTACTAAAGATTTAAAATAAATAAATATGAAAATGCTTATTTTTAAAATACAAATATTATATCATACATTAGGGGAAAAATAGTAATCTATTAAAGTTTTAAATTAAAAACTGTATTGTCATTTTTAAGGCAAATAACAAGCTGGGGTGCGTTTCTCAAACAATGACGTAACTCACTGCTGAACTATCATAGTACAATGCATCGTTTGGGAAAAGAATGATGTAGTGACGAGCGTTTCCCAAAACCCCTAGTTTCTCTGCCGCAGATCCATCTCTTGAACCACGTTAGTTATAACGTAAAACACCCATATGATGCTCTAAACAGGGTGGAGTAACAAGTTCTTTAGAGAAGAACCCCATCATTTATTTGTGCAAATTATATTGTTTTACACAAACACACATTTACAATAAAATTCTATATTAGTTTTGGTAAAAACATGCACTCGTTTTCCATATTAATTGAAATATATGTAAATGGCACATACAGTATAGGGCCTGTGTTTGCTTTACTAACATTATTGAGAAGTTGAATATTACATATTCTATTCTAAAGCATAAAATCACTGACAAAAGCTAACACTATTCTAATATCATATATAAATTAAATAAAAAATAATAAGGTTGTTGTTTATTTATTTTTTATATTTTGAAAAGTCTACTTTGACAATTTGACACATGCAAACCACAGCAGAAGGTTCTAACCAACAAGCTTGTGTTATATACAGTACAGATACTTAATAATTAACCCAAAGAATTAAAGTATGCTACTTTTTTGTTTTCACAAGCTTTGGAGACATAACAAAAATTCTGCTTATAAATAATAGGTCACGTATGGCTTTTGCCATGAGGCTATGTTCAAAATGATATCAATGTTTTCAAAGTGCACTGCGAAGGAAGTACAATTGTAAACATAAAGATCGCTAAAATTAAACAGTAAAAATACTTTGAAAGCAAATTACAACTAAGAGAGAAGGCTTTAATGCTTTTTTATTTTTAATAATTCCAACTTTGAATGTTAGAATGTTCTAAATGAATAGGGCATAGGGTGGATAAGTGGAAATAGAACATAGCCAGGAACTATATTTCTAACTACAGCTCCAGAGGTGTAGTTTCAAGTGCTCAAGTTTGCGACACAGTTTACGAATGTTCGTTGGAGCGATGGATTTGGGAAATGGCAAATCAACTATGTTTGTAACAATGGAACATGCAACCTTAGTTGGCTAACGATGGTTTTGGGAAACGCACCCCTGGCCAGCACATTCAACTGTCCTCAGTCAAAATTTGGCCATTTGAAAAATTAATGAAAACATAATAATAATAATAATAATAGTAATAATAATAGTAATAATAATAATAATAATATTAATAAAATTGTAGAGCTCCAGGATTTTTCTAGCCTCTCTTGTAAAAAAAAAAGTACATTAGAAAATTCATGGATAACAACAATAGCCAAAATAGTATTTAAATTCATTTTAATATGGTCCGATTTTGGTGCTTCACCTTTGGTCATTTTTTGTTTTAAGAATACGGTCCAAAACTTAGAATAAAAGAAACCTGTAAAATGTTTTCTCTGTTTAAAAACAATATAGTGGCAAAAGACTTAACTTATGTTACGTCAGATTGTAAAATGAAAATATTTGTTAGCATTGGCCAAAACTGATTAGCTGAAGTCTCACAAAAGCGGGAGCCAACAGAGGATTCCACTTGGTCTTTAAGCCTTTTTCCATGGGTTATTTTCGCTATTTATGATGGCATAGCAGTTTAAAATTGGACAAATGAGCTCATGTGTGGGACAAATTCTGGACCTTTGTCAGTGAGGGGTCGGTCTTCCCAATCACTTAAACCCCCCTGGCTATGGGCCTGATCTGAATATTAAAATACAAAAGCCGGAACTTTGTTTACCTTCAGATGTAAGCTGTATGTTTTTTGGTCTGGATGACTGGTTTCCATGTTTATTTTGTGCAGTGCACAAGTAGAATCCTGTATCATTCTGAGAAACAGTGAAAGTAATCTTCTTTTCTCGAGCAATTGCCGTGTCTTTTCCCAGTTTGTACCAGGTGTAGGTCATATTATTTGATGGACTGCCTTTGCTTTTGCAGGTCAAAGTCACATTAGTGCCAACAGAAACTGAAGCAGATGGACTGATGGTGATATGAGTTTCTTTTGGAGGAACTTTGACAGAAACACGAGAGCAAAGTTAATGTTAATATATCGATCTATTTATTTCATCACATCAAAGATTATAAGAAACAAACAAAAAAATCTCTTACACAGGACTAGTAGCGTCACGTTGGTTTCCACAGTTGAGTCATTAGCAGTTTCTCTTGTATATGTAACAGTGCAGTAGATGTTCTTTTTGTGATCTCTGTATGAAGCTTTGAAGGTCATGAGTGAAAACACTGACTGGGTTTTATCAGGTTTCTCCAGTAACTGTGTTGTAATGCTGGCAGATTCAGGGATGTTAGACCAGGACACATTAGGAGGTTGTTTTGGGCAGGGGGCTTCAGCAGAGCAATTTAGATTTACTGTACTTTCCTCCATCACATACGGTAGATTATTGGGTTTAAGTTCAGGTTGTTGTGGAAAATCTACAGAATAAATTATTGTAATGAAAAAAAAAATCATAGATAGGCCTACTTATTACATAATAATCACATTTGCATTAATGGTAACATTTAATTTTGTTGGTATGTTTGAGTACTAGAGTGTCTACATAATATCTGTTAATACTGCTGCTAAACAGGCATTTAACTGACGATAAGAAACTTTACAAGTACATGTCAACTTACACTAACCCTAACCTAACTGTCTACTTATAATCTATATCTTATTTGATACAGTGCCCCTATTATATTTATACTGTGTCTATATGTACATTATTATTATATTTAAAAGTATCTGTATTGTACTATCAATTAAGCATATCTCATGTCAGCATGCACATATTTAAAGACACTTAATATAAATCTGAACATTTGGTGTACAGTAGACAGTGGAGATGACATTTACCTCTGACACTGATCCTCACAGGTTGATTGTTAAATGTTGCTTTAAACACCTCTGGCTTTGTTTCCAGTCTGAAGTAGTAATTATCTGAGTGGTTCATCATGATGTTGTAGAAGACAGTGGTGCAGTTCCTCTCACTGAGATTTCCAGTTATCTGTATGTCACTGAATCCTCTAATGATGTTGTTACTGCTATTAAAAGCTATAAAACTGTCTGTGTTTCCATACTGCGGTATCTTTTTTAGCCAGAGGCCATAAAAAGACTTAACTGTCTTTTTAAGTTTGTCTTCAAAATCGGAGGTGTTGAATGTACAGGGAATCTGCACACAAGAGCCTGTCAGAGCTGTTACTGTGTGCGGCATCACAGCAGAATACTGAACATCAGCTGAAACATAAAAACACATTAGACACAACAGAGACATGAAGGAATTAGCACTTGGTTTTAAACCGACATCAATACATATTATAATTATTTACATATTTGTTAATAATAAGAAGTAATAGTAAAAAATAACCTACCTAGTTGAGTATGTAGCAATAAAGAACTGATGAAAATGAAGGATCCAATCTGGTTTCCTGCCATTTGTTGAGTGGACAGCACTGGACATTACAGTTGTCACAAATTAGTCTAAAACACCATAACAGTTTACTTACTCTCCATACAACAGAAATACATGTGTAATGAAGATTCAACCTCAGCTCATTGTTTTTTTTATACATTTTAAATTGTTGCTACAGAATGAGCCACTGTTCAATCCAGTCTACTTTGATTATGCTTACTTATTTAATTCATCGACATTAAACTTTTACACTATATAATCTATACACTAATAATCTAACTGATGTCACGTGAAAGACATTTTTGTATTAAATTCTACTCTATCTGTATCTTACTGTTGTTAATTATTATAGTAAAACATATGCATTTAATTATACATATTTACTATAATAACATATGTAGTCATACTAGTTACAGATAAATTTTTATTTACATATTTGTATTTGTATGCATGTCTCCATTTTACACCAAATTATTACTGTTATGCTCAAAACTGCAGCTCTAATTAAAGTATTTTGTAAGATCTATTACTGGAATCAGTAACTTGAATCAGTAAAATTCACAGAAATTTACTGTCATTTGAAAAGCCGTACAAGTAACTCAGGCTCTTAACTTTAAAGCATCTCCCAAAAGAGCTCTCATCAATAAATAAAATAAATAAAAATGATTTATCATCTGTGAAAGAATAGAGTGAAATCTTACCTCAGAAAAGGGATTTAACTTGAAAGAAGTGACTAAAACTGTCTTTCTACAACAGTCTTTTAGCAAGTTTGATGACACAACATCCATATCCTCAATGAAATGTCATCATACAGGAAGAGACTTGTAGGAACAAGAGACATCATGAGGTTGAAAATAAGCTGTTTTTGTGTTCTACTTAAAGTTGTTGCTGGGCTGTTTGCCTTATTAATACCCACTCAGAAATTATGAGTAATAAACATCAGATGACATTCGAAAGACAAAAAGTGTGTGCAAAGTGAAAAGTAAAGAAGACATGAGTGTTGATGTTTCTGAAGAATTAATGTTAATATATAAGTACGTGAATATAATAGAATGAGAATTTTTAAGCAAGTTAAAAGAATGCTCAAGACAGAGTTATCTAGAGCCAAAATGGCTGAGTAAGTTTAAAGCACTGACTTCAAACTCAGTTTATGTGAATCAAGATTAATATACACTTGAAAATGGAATTCAATGTTTATGATTAAGTAAGGGAAATAGATTTGTGATGAATGTGCTTAATACTGTTGTTGAGAAAGCCTTTATTCAGTGGAATGTGTGTGTGTGTGTATTGAAATTTGGTCAGCTCAGTGTGTTATTTGAAACTCTATACAGACAAAACATTAGGCAAAAATATACGTCACCTTGCAGGGACCTACTTGTCAAAAAGCACTAACATTTTTTTCTATTTCTTCTTCTTTTTTTTATTGTCATTGCATGTTGGAAATGTATTGTAGTTGTGAAACACTTTTAAAACCAAATAGTTTAATATTTCTTTAAAATTTTAACATATGGTCAAAACTTTAAGCAAGAATTATATTGTTTGTTCAGTGCTAATTGTACAAGACACAGAAATATTACTTCAAGTAAACAAACAGCCTGTGCTTGCAAGAAAATACGGCAGTTTAATTTTGTTTTAAGCTTAGCTATTTACTTCTTATCTGCAGGAAGGTGAGCTCAGTTTCAGTTACAACCCTGAAAAACAACCACCCGTTGTGCAGTTCATCACTCAACTCAACAAAAAAAAGCATGAGGTCAACAAATCCAACTCTTTAATAGAAATTTTTTCAGCCAAATATATTTTTGTTGCCTAAAAAGGCAGACTACTGGAACAAGGTAACGCGAGAACCCATGACTAATTAACGTGAGACCCTACAGGACCTGATGCGAGATTCAAAATCGCGAAAATTCAAAATGCTAGACAGCAAACAACTCCGTAGACTTTTTTCCCTTTTATTTCCACTGTTCTCCGTGAGTTTCACCCATGCAAAATTGGACTACATCAGTGCAACTGGACTATACTTTTCTAATTTTTTCATCCTGGATCAACTTGAAGAATACATCAATGCACATTACAACACATACCGCTGCAACATGGATAAACCAGAGCACAATAAAAAAGATAATCCCGCTCCAAACTCCAAAAGATCTCGATCTGATTCTCTCTCAAACATGATTTCAACACCTTCCTCACCATCCTGTTGTACCAAGGTAAGCAAAATATCACGTTCAATTGAAAATTAACTCTCCGGACTCGATTCAAGAATCGCACTAATAGAAGTTATTCACAAGGAATTCCAAGAACTCTGTCACAGTCTAAAATTCTGCCAAGAATAGATAGAAACACTCCGTTCCCCAACAAAACAACAACCGACCTCGTCCAATCATTGCAAAATTTGAACACTACAAACACAAAGAACTGGTTCAAACACAAGGCAGACAACTTAAAGGTACAATATACAGTCTCAACGAACAATACCCAAAGGTCATTCTTGACCTTCGGAAACAACTCTTTCCAATCAGAAAACAGAAAATGAACGAAGGAAAACGAGCAATCATTACAGTAGACAAATTATACATGGAACAAAACACCTTTGATAATTGGTAATTAGGGTTGGGTGCTTATTTTAACAATGTCTGAGTGTAATTTGTTTTTACAAATAAATAAAAACATATTTTTACGATTTAGGTCATTAAAGACAATATTTAATAACTCTGATCCAGTAAAGCTGCATTATATTGAGTGGTGTCTGATACTTAATTTCTGAGCATAACAATATGGCAGGTAATGCCACAAAAGCTTTAAGATTTTGCATTCAAGTGAGATTCAAGTATTTTCATTAAAACAGCAACATGAACAATACTTTACAATAGATTAGAAACATCTCGGTTACTAATGTAACCCTCGTTCCCCGAAGAGGGAACAGAGACGTGTATCTGGAAGACACTTTGAGAGGATGCTAGCTGACCAATCACTCAGAGTAAGGAAACGGGCTAATGAATGCCAATAATTTGTCAGAGCTTGGCTCTGCAGGTGCCATTGATTAATCATTAGTAAAGTATAACTGGCGCATGCAGAGCAAGCAGTTACATTTTTAGCCTGCTGAAGAGCCGAACACTCAGCTATCAGCTTGAAACCCAGCTATGCGCATGCGTATGGAAATGCCTCAACAGCTAAGCTTGTCACGCCCCTGATGAGTTGTTTGGCAAGCTTAGCATGAACGTACAAACATCACCAAGGGCACAACATTCCACTGTCTTATAGGCCCTTTAATTACCATTACATGGGAATAAATTAGAAAGAATTTAGATAGGGGGTAATAAATGTGCTTTTACCTAGCTAATTGTAATCTAAGAATTTTTAAAATATAACAATATGTTGGGAAAGTGTGCCAGTCCCCAAAGCGGGAGGACACTGCAGAGGCCATCTGGTACCCAAGAGGGGAGACTTGATGGCAATAAGAACATATGGACTAGCCCTATTCAGGGGGAGTGCCACATGTGATAAGCTGATTAGCGGGTAAAGAAGACATGGGTCCTCCTGAGAAAGGGGGAACAGTCCGTCGCTGAATAAGCATATAGAATCGCCAACGAGGACAATGCAGAGCTGGCACTGAACCCCAGCATGCAGGTAGACATTTACATTTACATTTAGTCATTTAGCAGACGCTTTTATCCAAAGCGACTTACAAATGAGGACAAGGAAGCAATTTACACCACTAAGAGCAACAATGAATAAGTACTAAAGGCAAGTTTCAGGTCTGTAAAGTCTAAGAAGGGAAGTGTTAGTAATTTTTTTTTTTTTTTTTTTTTTTTTTTTTTTTTGTACAGTTAGTGTGATATTCAAATAGGCAATTGCAGATTAGGAAGTGAAGTGGAGACTAAATAGTTGAGTTTTTAGTCGTTTCTTGAAAATAGCGAGTGACTCTGCTGTTCTGATGCAGTTAGGGAGTTCATTCCACCAACTGGGCAGATTGAGCGTGAGCGTTCGCGAAAGTGATTTTTTTCCTCTTTGGGATGGAACCACGAGGCGACGTTCATTCACAGAACGCAAGTTTCTGGAGGGCACATAGATCTGCAGAAGTGAGTGCAGATAAGAAGGTGCTAGGCCAGAAGTCACTTTGTAGGCAAACATCAGAGTTTTGAATTTGATGCGAGCAGCAACTGGCAGCCAGTGCAAACGGACTAGCAGCGGAGTGACATGTGCTCGTTTAGGTTCATTGAAGACAACTCGTGCTGCTGCATTCTGGAGCAGTTGAAGAGGCTTGATAGAGTTAGCTGGAAGCCCAGCTAGTAGAGAGTTGCAGTAATCCAGTTTGGAGAGAACAAGAGCTTGAACAAGGAGTTGAGCTGCATGTTCAGATAAGAAGGGTCGGATCTTTCTGATGTTATAGAGTGCAAATCTGCACGATCGAGCAGTTCTAGAAATGTGGTCAGAGAAGTTTAGTTGGTCATCAATCGTTACTCCAAGGCTTTTCACCATTTTGGATGCAGTAATGGTTGCCCCATCCATCTGGATTGAAAAGTTATGGTGTAGAGTCGGGTTGGCAGAAACTACAAGCATTTCCGTTTTTGCGAGGTTCAGCTGAAGATGATGATCTTTCATCCAGTGTGAAATATCCAACAGGCAGGCTGAGATACGAGCTGGAACCGAGGGATCATCAGGATGAAAAGAGAGGTATAGCTGGGTATCATCAGCATAGCAGTGGTAGGAGAATCCATGTCTCTGGATGACTGGTCCTAGAGATGATGTGTAGATGGAGAAGAGAAGTGGCCCAAGAACAGAGCCTTGAGGTACCCCAGTGTTTAGATGCTGTAGGTTGGACACCTCTCCCCTCCAAGACACCCTGAATGACCTGTCAGAGAGGTAAGATCTGAACCATAGACCAAGCAGGCCTACCAGACATCATACTGGGCCAAGCACCCGGCTCCTCCACTGCGTCAGGTGCTGGGGGCCTTGGAAGAGCTCTTTAGAAATTGCCAAATGGGGAACTTACTGAACAAAGTAGAACATGGCGGGAACATGGCGCAACAAGTGTTTTTGACACCGAGCTTAGTTTCCTCCCGATTGACCAGGGTTACCCAGAAGATTATAAAATCTTGCGAATGTGTTAGGTATCACCCAGCCCACAGCTCAACAGAAATAAGAGAGGCGCCAGATGCTAATACCCAAGAGTAGGTGACACTTATTGTTGAGTGTGCTCTCACCCTCTGGGGTAATTCTAGGTACAATTCGTTGCTCGAAAATGCCTCCAGATCCCTAACTCTCTCAATCAATGCCAACACAACCAGCAGAGCTGTCTTCACGGACAGAATTCCTTTCCTTGGAGTGGTTAAAACGGATCTCTCTGCAGACCCACCAGGACTACAGAAAGATCCCAAGAGGGCGTGAGAGGGGGGCTGAATGGATTTAATCGTTGCACGCCCCAGAGGAAGTAGATGATAAGATTATGCTTTCCAAGCATGTTGCCATACACCACGTCATGGTGAGTGGAGATGGCAGCCACGTCAACCTTCAGTGTGAGAGGAGTGTGAGTTCGTAAACTTAGGTCTGGTTGGGCAAGAGAGGCGCAACTAAGACATGCTCTTTGTCCTCCCTGACTTTGCACAGTGTCTGTGCAAGTAGGCTCACTGGGGGAAACGCATATTTGCGCATGCTTGGGGGCCAGTTGTGAGCCAGCCTGTCCATGCCAAAGTGGGCTTCGGTCAGGGAATAAACCAACAGGATATGGGCATTTCCGGGAGAAGCACTTCTCTGAAGTGTTCCCCTATCAGCTGCACCATACCGGGGTGGA